CATTTTTGCTGGAATATCATTCCACAATTTAGTCAAATTATATAATTGAATAACAAACTAAAAACACTGTTCCTTTGCTTTTGTTTTTATCCATATACCTGAAATGAGTTTGTCTCATGAATAGGTACAACATATCCATTCTTTTCCATTAACCTGTTATAATGCTTGCTTCAGGACCCAGTCATATTTTGTAGTTTTAGAAGTGACACACAAAAACATATCTGCACATTTAGTATTTAAATAATTAAATAATTCAAGTACCAAAGAACTTGTTAGTAGGAAAATGGTACCCTTGGAGACTAAGTCCACAAGCAGCCATCATGACCAGATAGTAGTAGAAGATCATAATTTAGTATTATTCATAAGGAACCAAACACATCAATTGTATGAAGTTTTAAAAGACCTTGTATTTTCTTTAAAGACCATATTCGAAAAATAATAAATCAGAGTCGAGATGATTCTTTGTAGAGCTTGGTCTTCAAATCATCACATCTGTTACATTTTAAAGGGTTTGGCTATGCAGTTTCAGAGGAGATAGTATTTCAAAATTGACCAAATAGTTTCCATAACCACTACTGGCAGTGTAGTTTATTGCCTGAGCATGATGAAATGAAATATATTCATCAACAGCCTTCCGCTTAATATTTCTAACATGATTTGTCCTTATCTTCTTATTTGTTTACTAGTATGACAACAACAAAAAAACATGCTGCTTTTTTTTTTTGAATTTCATCTTGAAGATCAAAGTCTTGCAGCAGTTATCATATAAACTTCACATTAATTTATTAATTATCCTTGAAAATAAGGTCAACGTGAAATGTTGCCTTTGAGACAGACATGCACACCTTGCAAACATTTCTTACAACAAATAGAGTTTGCATATTATTTATAATATCGGAGAATTTAGTCTAATAACAATAACTTAACATTGACCAATGACCAGTAAAATGAGGCCCTTGAGAGATGAACCGGGCGGTCATTACATTTGAATCCTTTCACACACCAAATACTGTTGACATGGAACTAGTAGCAAAAACATGTTGACTATTGAACCATGAAAATAAGGTCACGGTCAGATGAACTCTCTTAGACTGACATGTACGCAATACAATCATTTCATACACATAATATAATTGACCGTTTCCTTATTATATGAATAACAGACCAATTCACCAAAACAATTATCAACTAATCATGAAAATTAAGTACAATGATCAATTAACCATGAAAATTAATTATATAGGTGAACACTGTCAAGATAGACAACTTACCATCATTATTGATACTGTTTAGAGTTAACCTTTTATATTTTATCTAAAAAATAGACTTCATCACAACAAGAGTGCAAATGCTGAAATGTCTCGCCTGCTTTACTGCTTAACATGATTGAATTTATGTTGAAAATCTTAAAAGAAACAGGTTATACAACACATGTTACATAACATTAACATAATCAATGGTCCATGTAACTGTAAAAGTTAAAATCACAAAAATACTGAACTCGGAGGAAAATTCAAGACGGAAAGTCCCTAACAAAATGGCAAAATCAAAAGCTCAAACGAATGGACGACTGTCATATTCCTGACTTGGTACAGGCATTTTCTTATGTAGATGACAGACGCAGATGGATACCTAACAATCATTCCATATACCAAATATAGTTAACCTATTGCTTATAGTATCTGAGAAACTGATCTAACCAAGAAAACTAAACTTTGATCAATAAACCATGAAAATGAGGTCATGGTCAAATGAATTCTGCCAGACAGACATTTATACCTTGCAATCATTTTATACAAATGTAGTAACCTATTGCTTATAATTATAGTATCTGAGAAACCGACTTTACCATGAAAACATAAAGCTGACTTTTGAACCATAAAAATGAAGTCAAGGTCAGATGAACCTTCAAAACAGACATTTCACACTTCATATACATTTGACTTAATGCTTATAGTACCCGAGAAATAGACCTCACCATAAAAACTTGACCTTATTATTAAGGTCAGACAAATCCTGCACAACAGACATGTTACATGTATACACCTTACAATCAATCCATACACCAAATATAGTTGACATATTGCTTGTAGTAACTGAAATATGTACTCGACCACGAAAACTTAACATTGATTATTGATCCATGCAATGAGATAGAGGTCGGGTGACTCTTCTGAGACCTTGCAAGGATCCCATATACCAGATATAGTTATCCTATGACTCATAATAAGTGAAAAATTCACATGACAATAAAAGAACAGAGTTCCAACGTCCCCCTCATTGCACATATTTTATCTATTCAAGGGCAATAACTAAAAAAAATGCAAATATTTCCAAGGGCCATAACTCTTTTAAAAATACTTGATCGGCACTGATTTTTGAACATGTCCGAGATATTGCTTATATAAACCTTTGATATAAATTGGTAAAAATCTGGCAAAAATTGTACACATGAGAGTGTTTACAATGCAATTTTCCATATCATTAATATTTCAAAGGGGCATAACTCTTTTAAAAATAATTGATCAGCACTGATTTTCGAACTTGTCTGAGCCATTGTTGATATAAACCTATGATATAAGTTTCATAAAAATCTAGCAAGAATTGTACACATGAGAGCGCTAACAAAGAAATTTTCCATATAATTAATATTTCCAAGGGGCACAACTCTTTTAAAAAATAGTTGATCAGCACTGATTTTCGAACTTGTACGAGACATTGCTAATATAAACCTATGATATAAGTTTTATAAAAATCTGGCAAGAATTGAACACCTGAGAGCACTAAAAAGACCGGACGGACGAACACCCCCGGTATTTCTATGTCTCACGCAAAGTGTTGCGCGGGGGACAAACAAACTATAGATTTTTTAAGCAGTCACTGAACATGAAAATGAGGCCAGAGACAATAAACATATTAATGACGTTAACTTGGAAACATAACACATCTGTATACAAGGCATGGAGCATCCAGGTTTTTTACCCCCTGAACTATAAAGCTTTATACAACAATATTGCAGTTGTCACTACCAAAAAATAGTAGTATCTCTATGTCGTTATTTCTGCAAAGTCTGTTACAGACAAGACAAAAATATGATTTGTTATTGGGTTCAATGGAAACCTATGTGGCACCATTAAGGCATTTTCTCTTACTATGCGAACAGAATGAAATTCTCCAGTGGTCTTATATGTTTTGGGGGAATTTTTTTTTGCACATGAGTCCTTACACACCTTGATTACTTGTCACACTAGATCATTGATGATCATCTTAAGTTGTGTTATGTGATAGGTAAAAAACAATATTTAGACATGAACAACTCACCTAACAAATTTTTCACTTCACTAATATGTTATCTATAATATGTCTATTAGGGTATAAATGTATTAAACAACCAATTAACTATATCAAATTTATTCAATATCTATAATTATATATAAATACATGACACTTTTAACAACATAAAGTACTTGAAAAGCAAACATTTACATTTTTGGAAAAAGAAAAAGCCTAGAATTCAAATAATTCACAGATTTAAATATTCAATTGATTTGAGGTAAATGTGGTATGAAAACAAAAAACCAAAAAAATGTAATACAAAATAAATAAATGCAAACAAGAAGCTATTATTAAATATTTATCTGGCATATACCTATTGAATATCACGTTTGACTAAATATATAGATATTGTTCCAACTAAAAACATTGAGATCACTAAAAATTATAGGAATGCTGTACAATTTATATAATTTGTAAATTAAAACCATCATTTATTACCACTCCCAAAGAAGTATAAGAAAAATATGTATGTACAAAATAATTGTTTACAATACAGGACAATGGCTGATATAATGCCATAGTTTTTTTCTGCAAGAGGCTCAACATTAACCTATATAATGGAGATTGAAATCCCATAACAATTAAAAAACTAATCTTCTATTCATTATACAAAATCTGCTAAAAAAACCTGAGTTATCATAGGACTTGCTTGTGATTGGCAAACTTTTGATGATTATGAAGTCCAAAAATTCAGGGATCAAACAAATCTGAAAATCATCTAAAAGGAAAAAAAATCAAAGCAAGCTTGATTTAAAGGAAAATGAAATTAGATGAATAGGAATTGTGCACCATTATCTTTTAGTTTTGCATTGACAGGCATACAAAACAATGTGTCTGTAGATACTAATGAAATGAAAATGATGATTACAGAAATAAGAAAAATACTATACATAACACTCATTAGTTCATGTAAAGATGGACATACTTACATATAAAATGTGCAAATGCTAATACAACTGTATACAAAATATCAGCAACTTACCATTAGTGGTTCCCCTTAAACTGACCTAATCAAAAACTTTAACAAATTATTGATGCATCTCGCTTGTATATATGGTACTGCCTTAGTTACATTGTGTAGTGGGTGTGAAATCTAATATCATCGAGCCACCTTAAGTTTAGGTTCAATTAATAACATTGTGGAAAGTTTGAATGGAAAAGTTTTAGCCAGAAATTTTATTACTAGGGGAAATGAAAGTTTATTATGGTCCATGTGGGCTAAAAAAAACAGGTTACTTTATAAACAAGATGTAAATGACATTAAAATTCATTATAAGACCAATTAGTTAGCCCCTCAACCTGTGAACTCACAGATTTGCAAATTTAATGATAACACTCCTTTACACAATTATTTGATAAGGGAATAAAATGCTCCACTGGGCGCAGCTTGATACAACCGCAGAGGTCGAACCCTGAACAGTTGGGGCAAGTATGGACACAACATTCAAGCTTGATACAGCACTGAATTTGGATTGTGATTAAATATTTGACACAGCATAGGTTTCTGACACAGAATGAATGTGGTCTAAGAACTTAAATTTTTTTAATTTACCTATTCAAACCATATCATTATTATTTGCTTTTATATATAAATCAGAAATAACTAATTTAAAATGGAAAATTTTAAAGAAAAAAAAAGGAAAAAAGGAAAAAAAATCCCCCACCCCCAATTTTTTGAACCCCCTTATGATTCATCACCCCCAAACTCAATCCCAGCCTTCCCTTTGTGGTATTGTACCTTGCAGTACAATTTCATAGAGATCCATACACTTGAACACAAGTTATTGTCTGGAAACTAGAAAAATGCTTATTTTTGGCCCCTTATTCCTAAACGTTTTGGGCAATTACCCCCAAACTCAATTCCAGCTTTTCCTTTGAGATATGGAACCTTGTAGTGCAATTTCAGAAAGATCCATACACTTACACACAAGTTATTGTCATGAAACTAGAAAAATGCTTGTTTTTTGCCCCTTTTTTGGCCCCTAATTCCTAAAATTTTGAGGCAATTACCCCCAAAATCAATCCCAGCCTTCCCTTTGTGATATGGAACCATGTGGTACAATGTCAGAGAGATCCATACACTAACACACAAGTTATGTCTGGAAATTACAAAAATGCTTATTTTTGGCCCCTTTTTGACCCTAATTCCTTAACTGTTGGTACCATAACCCCCAAAATCAATCCCTACCTTCCTTTTGTGGTATTGAACCTTATGGTAAAATTTCATAGAGATCCATTCACTTAAACTAAAGTTAGAGTGCGAAAACCAATGTGTCTTCGGACGACGACGACGACGCCAAAGTCATACCAGTATACGACCACAAAATTTTTTGGCGGTCGTATAATAAAATAGATATATAAAAGGTACAGAATTTGTTCAAGATGATATAAACAAAAAACAGCTGCTCCATGAGGGCATGATACGCCCGTCGCTATTTCAAAGAATAAAGTTCAACAACTTCTCAATGTCATATCAGAGAAAATCATGAAAACTAAAGGGAGGTTATCTTAATAGATATAAACCAGTCACCAAAGTTTCATGATAACTGCTCAAAGCATTGTCCGAAAACTGGAAAATCACCCCTTTTTTATGAATAAAATCACATAACTCTAAAACGTAAAATCTAAAATTTATAAAAATGGAAAGAGAGCTTACATCTACAGATATAAACAAGTCCCCAAAGTTGCATAAAAACTGCTGAAAGCATTTTTGAGTTATTGCCCGAAAACTGGAAAATCCCCCTTATTTTAATGAATAAAACTCCATAACTTGGAAACGTAAAATCTAAAATTAATAAAAATCGAAAGGAAGCTTATGTCAATAGTAATAAACAATTCACCAAAGTTTCTTGCAAATTGGTGAAAGTGTTTTTGAGTTATTGTCCGAAAACTGGAAAATCCCCCTGTTTTTATGAAAAAAAAACCCAAACTGGGAAACTTAAAATCAAAAATTTATAAAAAAACGAAAGGGAGCTCACGTCAATAGATATAAACAATTCAGCAAAGTTTCATGCGAATTGGTTCAAGCGTTTTTGAGTTGTTGTCCGACGTTGACGACGGACAGACAGACAAACAATGGTATACCATAATATGTCCCGTAAACGGGCGTATAATAAACGGGCGTATAAAATTAAATAAATAAAAAAATATATCAAGCCATTTTACCACAATATCAAAGAGTTTTTTTCAAAATATGATTCTTGTAATATCTTAATCATTATGTCTGTATATACACATGATACAATAATTTTCTTAATATTTATGAATTAAAAAGTAATAGTCTGATTACTTTTTAATTCATATGTGTAAAGTAATACAAAAATAGCAATTTGACTTCTGTAAAAATAAGTATTATGATAAAATCTTAAATAGACAACAAACTTCACTTAATTAACAATTCAATAATGACAAAAAGCACCATGTGCAAGGTAAATGCTGTACAAAATTCATTCCGTTCAATTCAAAAATAAGTTGTGAAATTGTAAAAAGCACTGACATACTTTATAAAATTTACCTGCAAAACAATACTTTATTAATACATGCAAGTGTGCAACACATTGAGCAAAATGTACATGTTTTGTTATAGAGTTTGTCCTTTCTTAATGTAATAATAGTACCATAAATGAAATAAAAAAATATTCACTTACCAATTTAGCATGCCCTGTTTTTGCTTTGTAAGACAACATGATAGACATACATAATGACCCAATCCATCCTTTGAGGGCATACAATACAGAAAAGATCTCTCTTTAATTTTTTCTTAAAATTTTGGCACAAAGTCAATTTTGATATGCACTATGGAATATGCAAAGAAAAATATACCTTCATGACTTACTTTTCAAGATATTTCAGTTTGAAAATTGCATATTTAAGGGTAAAAATACAAAATTTCATTTTTGAATACTTTTCCGAAAAATGGGTCAAAGTCTCAAATGGCTGGCTTTCAATCAACATGAATCAATATTTGTGACTAAATTTAGCTGAAAACATTCTGAAAGTAAGTCGATTGAAAAAAGAAACTAGAGGCTCTCAAGAGCCTGTGTTGCTCACCTGCATCTACTGTGGTTTTGGTATCATGTAAAATAAGCATGATAAGGTTAAAATCATAATAAATAGTACTAGATACCCCAAAAATGATTTAGACCAAGTTTGGTTTAATTTGGCCGAGTAGTTAAATTAAAAGCAGGTCATCCCCATTGTAGTCTTACAATAGTTACTGAAGACCCCTTATCATTATTTGAATTGTGTTTTCAAGTTGTGACAATTTGAAATTCCTTTTTTACAATTTTCCCATAGACTTCTATAGTAAACCCCTATGTTCTTTTTTTAGCCATGGCGACCATCTTAGTTGATAGACGGGGTCATCAGATATATTTTTAAAACTAGATACCCTACGGATGATTTAGGCCAAGTTTGGTTTAATTTGGCCCAGTAGTTTCAGAGAAGATTATTGTAAAAGTTAATGGATAACGACGGACGACAAGTGATGAGAAAAGCTCACCCTTTTGGGCCAGGTGAGCTAAAAAAAAGGGGGTCATGTGCTAATTTTTTAGCTAGAAATAGAAAACCTAGTATTTTAAATGTGTGCGATCCTATTTCCCTTTTTTGGCACTATATTACATCGTAGTGTATTCTTAATGCAACATGCAGGTATTCCCCCGTACATGAACCCATTATAAGAATTACTGCCCCAGCAGTGGATTTCATGCACTCTAATATACAATAAGTTTGTTTTCTGTTAAAAATACTTTCAAATTTATGTACTAGTAACTGATTTGATGATGTTAGCTATTTTTCCTTGAATCTTGGATGCTTATTATTAGCAATGTTGTGAAAACAATGCATTAAATTTGGATGCATTATTATCTGCCCTTGCTTCTGTATCGTATGCCCTCAAAAGACTAATAAAAGCAATTTCAAACAATCAAGGTGAAAGTGACTGCAGTGTGGGTGGACATAAGTATGTAGGGTATACATTTTTTGGCCTAAATACAATAGACTTTATAGGATTAGAACACACACACAACATAATAAATAACAATAATATAGAAATTTGACAATTCAATTAACTCTAAAAAAAATTATTGAATATTTGCTCTATTTGGTACATACATGTTTGAAAAAAATACCAAATAATTTAACATGACTTAATCCAATGTTACTGAAAACATAAACTAAGAATTTGCAATGAATAACACTACTACACTATATAACTTGACAACTTAAAGCACAAATGTGCATCTAGACTCATCTGATTAAGTAATGAGTTAAAATTTATACTTGCTACAATCAATTTTTAAAGCTTATGCCAATGGACCTAAGGTTTGTTGAAAACAAGCAGTTCTTTTTCAGTGTTGCCTTGAAGCTGAACTATTTGTAATTTTGATAAATGACAGTAAGGGAAAACAGGAAACACCGAGCAATGCAAGTCTTGTCATTTGACAAAGTGTATTTGATGAAATTAATGACATTTAATTTTAAACAATTAACTACATTATTGATTCATTTAAACATAACTTTCCCAACAAAACAATAAGAGTCTCACACTGTTTAAAACGGTGGACGATTATAAAAAAATAAGACATGATATTTTAATACTTATAACATGTATAACAAGAGACTTTTAATAAATTTCAGTAAACCAGGCTTGCTTAGATAAAATGCTTCATACATGTCTTATTAAAGCTTAACAGAAGCAAAAATAATGGGAAGTCACTGGGCTCGACATTAACTTTTTTAACAACTTGCCCTTTGGGCAATTGACCATGATATACTACCTGTCACAGTCTCAAAGAGAAAACCACTAGTCCAAATTTTGTACTTGCTCAAGAAATTTCCAAACAGCCATTTATGGACTTAAAATCATGTAAAATTCAGCTTTCTGTTTTTCTGGTATTCTGCCACAAAACGTCCCCCCCCCCCCCCCCTATCTATCTTGGACAGAACAGCACATCAAATCAGAAAAGCCAATATCTTCAATAATTATTTTGTTTTCCTTATGCTTTTTTTTTAAATACATATTATCTTGACTTACCATCTGTAAGGTATTTTATTGATAAGTCTTTGATATATATTACCAATTGCTATTTAAATTCAGAACACTTTACATCTATAACATGTACATGATGTACAGCATTGTAAATTATCCTATAAAATCACTGTGACGGCATATTGGTTTTGAAATTAGTTTATTATACAGATCTTTCTCCTTCTTATATCTTTCAGCAAAATAAAGTTGAAACAATCTCAAAGATATTGTCTTTTCAATTTTCTTTACTTTCCTTTAGTTAAAATGAGTAAGATAAGTGGGAACAAGTTTTAAGAAAACACAATTCCACTGTCAATAAAACTTGTCATGCTTGTAAAGACAATTTCATTTGTGATGATTGTTGCAAGTAAGATTCAAATTTCCTTTGCCTGTATTAGCTCAGAATATAATGGTTTTGTAATCCTTTTTTCTGTACACATCCTAACCAGAATAATAGATCCAGAAGTCCATTCCTATGTTCTGCTTTCATTATATCAAATATTTGAGTGTACTGTATATGTGAACGCATATTTTCAATATCTTTAGATCTTTTTATAGCCATAAAATGTTTGTTTGAAAGCTGGAGGTAGTTGAAGATAACCTGAAAAGTAAATATGTAAGGATTAAAATAAACTTACTCTTAAAGGTTATAAATTTAATATTCTAGTTAGACAACTGAATATTGTCTTTATAGGTAAGAACAATGATTTTATTTTCAATAGCTTAATACACCAGCTGTATGAGAGCACATACGATGAAATGTAAGTCTTCTTTACTAAGCATGACTGTATTTTGTGTTAAAAAAAAAAGGTTTTAACTACAATTATTAAATAATCTTAACAATATCACCGATTCATGAATATGAGGCCAAGGTTATTAGAATAATTAGACAAGTTACATAATTTACCCTAATTTCCTTATTTTAGTCATTGTGGCCATGTTGGTTGATTGGTAGGAACAAAAGACATTAACCGTTAACATATATATACAAGATATACCTATCAAAGAATCTTTCAGGCCAAGTTTGGTTGTAATTGGTCCAGTGGTGTCAGAGATTTTTTAAAAGTTTATGACAATGACTGATGACGACAGCTGACATGGCCCATAGCTAAAAACAAGCAAATTGTCATTAGAAGTAATACTTCATCATAAGTTAGTTGTTAAACCAAATCAAATGCATTCTTCCATAAACTCAACAGCCAAATCCCTGCTTGTGACACAAGGTAAGTTTATCAAGGATGCAATTGCATACTATATGACTGTATGCGTGTTTTAGAGAACTGTCTGTGGACACACAGACACAGATACTGATGCTTTTACTTTAAGGTATAGCTTTTCTTTCAAATCTGTGACAGATATAATGAATATAACACTTCGTATATCATGTAGTGGTTCTCATTGGGGTCTAAGCGTGACACGGGATTGGCCAATTTTTTTTAAGCGTGACATGTGAAAGTCAAATAATTTAGCGTGAAAACGGGAAACGAAGTCGGGCGGGACACGGGAAATTACATGCGCTATTATGGCAACCAGAAGCGGGATACAGGATTCTGACAAAACAATAAGCGAGATCAGGGATCAGACCCCACCCCCCAATGAGACCCCATGTATATCAATGTTGGATTGTAAAAGTGGAGCAGAAACCTTTTTTTCAAAGTTACACCATATGTTTACCTTGGTTTTCATGCACAAGATGCCTAGAATTTCAGGTACAAATATTGAGTTGTGACATTCAGCAAGCATTTCACAACCAAGCTGAGCTAAAACATCAGGCTGAACTTTACTGTGAATCCATGGTGTTTTGTTTGGCTTTTTTTCATCACTTGTAGTTGTGGTATTTTCAATCTAAAATGATCATGGTAATAAAAAAGTTGCATGTTTACCAGTCAGGTGCGTTACTTAAATATTATGTCAAACAAATTACTTTTCAAAATTATCTATACATGCTATAGACATGATAGATATAAGTTATGTTTAGTTTTGTTAATTTGCAAATCAATCACTATTGGCATTTTTTTTCTTAGCAACTTAGATATTAAGGTTTTAAACTCAAAGACAGCAAAAACAAATCCTGTGACCATGGTGACACCCCTAATATTTTCATATCATTAAAACCTAAATGTTCACAGCAACAACATATAATTTTTGAACACAAATTCGTTTTCAAAGGAGTAGGCCCAGTAAGACCCCCTTTTGGCCCCAAAATATAGCAGTTTTACAAAATTGTTAAAATGTAAACTTTTAGTTATTCATTGAAAAGTAGAATGCTTCTGCTGCATAAATATGGGCTGTTTATGACAAAACAAAGCACATATATCGTGAACTAGCATCATTAAGTCATGCTAAATTACTGAAATCTTCACAATTTTAGCATTTTAGTTAAATTTTAGACGGTTTCCGTCTTAAATGAAAATGGCCGCATTTGTGTTCATTCTTAATATTGAAATGTAAGTTGTATTTGATGATAATACATAACATATATAAAGGTTGAGGATGAACACGGATGCGGCCACTTTCATTTTTGACAAAAACCATCTGAAAAGTGGCATTTTTTGGCATATTTGATAGATTTTTCATATTTAAGCTTGAATCGGAGTGTTTTTAATGACTAAATCAGTTAAAATATTTCCCATAAACTAATTGAATCAACTGAAATAGACACTTAAGTGCTTAAAAAGTGTCCAAAATCTTTCGTCAGATGAACTTGAAATTTGAGGCCAAAATCGGCCCTTACCGGACCTACTCCTTTGACTGCTTGTTTCTGTCCAGGCACAGCTATTTTTTCTAGACTTGCAATTGTTGCAGTTCCTCAACACCTTTTCGGGCACTTTTTTCTTCCACATTTCATCAACTTTTATTTGTTCATTTAACATTTTTTAACAATAAACGACAATAAAGACAACAACACCCATCAATTACCGCATGGTAGGAGTTTATTTTGGTCGACATGTTTCGCCAACAAGCGTGGCGTCTTCAGGACAATATTATATATGAAATCAAACAGTGAAGTACAAATTTTGGGGTTGTGTGGTTCGCCGAAAGTAACGTAACAATAGAGGTTGTTATGACAACGTTATAGATATAAATAGAAAGTGAAAGTAAAATAAAATAGAATCTAGTTAAGTTAAAAGTGAAAGTTAGTCAATAAAGTCATCATTATTTTACTTTCACTTTCTATTTATACCTATAACGTCGTCATAACAACCTCTATTGTTACGTTACTTTCAGCGAACCACACAACCGCAAAATTTGTACTTCACTGTTTGATTTCATATGTAATATTGTCCTGAAGACGCCACGCTTGTTGGCGAAACATGTCGACCAGAATAAACTCCTACCATGCGGTAATTGATGGGTGTTGTTGTCTTTATTGTCATTTATTTTACTTATATAGTGAAAGACAACTGTGAATACCTTTCGGTATCCACCCACTATTACCCAACTGCACGATTACCACTTCAGGTGTTGGTTCACCTTGTTCAAATTCATTTTTTAGCAATGTTTAATGTAAACTGTTTCTGTTTTTCTGTTTTGAAGCCATGCTTATAAAACTAATTGTATTGAAATCAACATTTAAAAATGCTAAACTAGGCATGTTAGGTATGATTAGTAATGAATCATCTTTGGCTTGGGTGTTGTTCTAAGTCCTGATAGTTGTCAAAATATACTTATTCTACAATAATGTAATATATGTTCCCTATCATGCCTATTGGAATTTTTGAAACAAAAATATACTTAAACAGCAAAACCTGCCAAAAATAATTAAAAAAAAATTCTAAAATATGCTTAACATAGAAAACAATTATATATAAATCTATGGCAAAATAGTATGCTTAAGCAGCTTTATAGAATTTTTTTTTAACAAATTCATCTTAATACATGTTAGAATGTGTCAAAAACTCATATTAATGGCATTTAGATTAACTTTTTCAATAGCTGTTGATCATTCAAAGAAATACATTTAAAACAGTGATGATGGTTCTTTCGATTTATGCTGCTGCTGTCTTCTTAAGCAGGTGATCTCTTAAAACAGTTGAAATATATAATCTGATCTTTTTTGGGATGGAAAGGTGATCGCATAAAGCAGTTTGTCACTACATACAGGTGGTGATTTAGACAAGTTTCACTGTAAATAGTTCAAAATTTGAATCGGGATAGGACAAACATTTGTGTAGCACAATTATCTTCTAGCAAACAATGGAAAAAAAGTGTGCAAAAATTAAATAATAGTGTGCAAATAAATGTTTTTCTAAACTGTTTCTACCCATTACTGTATACTGTAAACTATACATACTGTACATGCTGTACTTGTATCTTTACTTTTACTGACTTCACGCTCTTCAGTATTTTCTGAATTCCTAAATGCGGCAATTTTAACCTGAAAACATACATGTCTGGAAAATACAAATAAATCATGTAAATAAACAAAGCTTTTTTCAGTGGTAATATCTCACCCTCTTCCTAAAGAATTTAAAGTCAAAGTTGGAAAACCTAGTAAACTGAAACTATTTTTTAATAAACTGTTATCACAGAGAAATGTCTCGCCTTTTTGTAATTTTGATAATGCAAATGTTGAAATTAAAATAGCAACACTTTAACATTTAAGTTATGCAAATATTCAAAGTCGATATTATAAGTCGTTCCCTTTAAACAAACCTAAACACAAACATTAACTTGTAAACTATGTAAAAGTTTCAAAGTCAATGAACCATGATCAGGGGTGGGGCTATATAATCTCCATGGAAACGATACTTGCAAATGCCAATAAATTTGCATACCAAATATCATTGACTTAACATTAGCAGTTCATCTTAAACTGATCTAATCACAAACTAATACATGTAAACTAAGCAAAAGTTTCAAAGTCACTAGACCATGACTGAGGGGGCGGGGCCAAATATTATCCATGGAAATGAGATGTGCTAATGCTTATACAACTGAACACCTATTAACATTGACCTGCCACTAATGGTTCCCCTTGAACTGACCAAATCACAAACTAATACATGTTAACTTAGAAAAATTTTCAAAGTCTTTAGACCATGACTAAGGGGGCGGAGCCAAATAATCTCCATGGAAATGAGATATGCCAATGCTTATACAACTGCATACCAAATATCATTGACCTACCACTAGTGGTTCCCCATAAATTGACCTAATCACAAACTAATACATGTAAACTATGGAAAGTTTCAAAGTCAATAGACCTTGACTGAGGGGGCAGGGCCAAATAATCTCCATGGTAATGAGATGTGCCAATGCTAATTCAACTGCATACCAAATATCATTGACCTACCACAAGTGGATCACCATGAACTAGACCTAATCACAAACTAATACATTGTTGAGGCCGTCGCAGACGCCGGAAACAGCATACCTACATTGTATGTCTCGCTTTTTGACTCCGTCAAGGCGAGACAAAAACTAGATGTGTCAGTAAGACATGAATGTTCTCCGCCTACAGCCAGGTTGTGAAAAATTGGTCAACAGTTACAAAAGGCAAACTCTGTGAGTCATCATTTAAACAATAATATAAGATTATGTAAAACAAGAGTGCACACGCTGAAATGTCTCGCCTTCTTTACTAATCATTGATATTATGTTGATAGTCCTAAATATAAAGCTTTATTACAACTGTCATATAAACTTAACATTAACCAAGTAAACTAAACATTGACCAATGAACCATGAAAATGAGGTCAAGGTCAGATGAACCATGCTAGGCAGGCATGTACAGCTAACAATTCTTCCATACAACAAATATAGTTGACCTATTGCTTATAGTTTAAGAAAAACAGACGAAAACACAAAAACTTAACACTGAGCAATGAACCTTGAAAATGAGGTCAAGGTCAAATAAAACCTGCGTGACTGACATATAGATCATAAAATATTTCCATACACCAAATATAGTTGAACTATTGCATATAGTATTAGAAAAAAAGACAAAAACTCAAAAACTTAACTTTGACCACTGAACCATGAAAATGAGGTCAAGGTAAGATGACACCTAACAGTTAGATTTGCAGGCAAGTACAAATTAGTCCAGTCAAGTACTAATTTCTAAAGTCCAAGAACCATGATTTCAATCATAATGTGTTCAACCAAAAAGAAAAAAACTCACTCTTTATACAACAAGAGTGCACACGCTGAAATGTCTCGCCTTCTTTACTAATCATTGATATTATGTTGATAGTCCTAAATATAAAGCTTTATTACAACTGTCACATAAACTTTACATTAACCAAGTAAACTAAACATTGACCAATGAACCATGAAAATGAGGTCAAGGTCAGATGAACCATGCTAGGCAGGCATGTACAGCTAACAATTCTTCCATACAACAAATATAGTTGACCTATTGCTTATAGTTTAAGAAAAACAGACGAAAACACAAAAACTTAACACTGAGCAATGAACCTTGAAAATGAGGTCAAGGTCAAATAAAACCTGCGTAACTGACATATAGATCATAAAATATTTCCATACACCAAATATAGTTGAACTATTGCATATAGTATTAGAAAAAAAGACCAAAACTCAAAAACTTAACTTTGACCACTGAACCATGAAAATGAGGTCAAGGTAAGATGACACCTGCTAGCTAGACATGTACACCTTACAATCATTCCATACACCAAATATAGCTGACCTATTGCATGCAGTATTAGAAAGAAAGACCAAAACTCAAAAACTTAACTTTGACCACTGAACCATGAAAATGAGGTCAAGGTCAGATGACACCTGCCAGCTAGACATGTACACCTTACAATCATTCCATACACCAAATATAGTAGACCTATTGCATACAGTATAAGAAAAACAGACCAAAACACAAAAACTTAACTATAACCACTGAACCATGAAAATGAGGTCAAGGTCAGATGACACCTGCCAGTTGGACATGTACACCTTACAGTCCTTCCATACACCGAATATACTAGACCTATTGCTTATAGTATCTGAGATATGGACTTGACCACGAAAACTTAACCTTGTTCACTGATCCATGAAATGAGGTCGAGGTCAAGTGAAAACTGTCTGACGGGCATGAGGACCTTGCAAGGTACGCACATACCAAATATAGTTATCCTATTACTTATAATAAGAGAGAATTTAACATTACAAAAAATCTGAACTTTTTTTTCAAGTAGTCACTGAACCATGAAAATGAGGTCAAGGACATTGGACATGTGACTGACGGAAACTTCGTAACATGAGGCATCCATATACAAAGTATGAAGCATCCAGGTCTTCCATCTTCTAAAATATAAAGCTTTTAAGAAGTTAGCTAACGCCGCCGCTGCCGCCGTAGCCGCCGCCGCCGGATCGCTATCCCTATGTCGAGCTTTCTGCGACAAAAGTCGCAGGCTCGACAATAATGTACCATAAATCAGCTCCAGATCAATAGGCACTACAGAATTTTTTCAAACAAATGATTAGAACAATATTCATGAAAATGGGCCAACAGGGGATGAAATACAAACTCAATCTGTAAGTAATCATTACACACCAATGCATACTAACATACTAAAAATCATGTCAGTGAAACTTTGATTTCAGTAGGATTGAAAGACAGACAAATTGCAAGGGTAACACTATATGCCCTGGTTACTTAGAGGCAAAGACAAACAGAATAGAAATAAAATATGAAATCATTTCTTACTTCTGCTAACATTATTAATATGTTTCTGTTTGGCATGGATGACTGCTGCCAGTAACGAATGTCAGGAAGGCATCCAACTCTTTTATTTCTAATCCATAAGTCAGTTTTAGCTCCTTCGCCAGGTCTGAAATTATTTCAATTCTGACATGAAATGTTCTTATCCATACAAAAGTTTAGAAGGATTCTATATGGGCTGCTTAACAATCTATCATATGAAAATGATATGGATATGACGTGGATTGAATACTATGTACTTTTACCAGTTTACATAACATAAAGATGTACAAGTACCTGCTTTCCATTTGCACATGTTGATTAAATGACATGAGTAAAATTGGGTTATTTTGAAATCCTAGCTCATGATTATTCAAATGTGATAAAAACCGACTCATGCCAGCTGTTTTAGAAGAGAACATTTTAAAATGTACAATCCTTAAAATGGTGTATTTAAAAAGGTGGCAGACAAAGACATGTAAATATAAGTTTGATATAAATGGCTTTCAAAACTTAGTTTTGACTTGTTAGTGAATTGTTTGTGTATTTATTGGGATTTCATTTGAAATACATTACATATAATATCATGTTTTTTATCAAGTTTATAATACTATTTTCCTTTTGTAAAATCAAACTAAGCAAATACAAATAAACTAGAGGCTCCAAAAGAGCCTGTGTTGCTCACCTGGATTTATGTGCATCTTCAAAAATGGACACTCTTCAACATTGTAGACTAGAATATAATTCATGACTAAAATCTCATTTTTGTTGACCTTGTATTGCTGATATTTTTTCTGTTTAGTTTCTATCTGTTTATAAATATTTTTTGCATAAAACATAAAAATGGGTAAAATTCATCATTCAAGAGCAGTAACTCCTATAAAAAATGTACTGACAATTTTTGCTTTGTTGACTTATTTGTTGATCATGTCTTGATGATGATATTCTTACTGTTTTTAGTTTCTCTCTATCTCCTATAATTTTTGCCAAAATTGTAAAATATTCATGATATTGTAAAAAAATCTTCATTTAACATGTTTATGGGTAATCACTTCTACAAGTAGTCAACTTATTGACCTTTTTGTAGATCTTGTCTTACTGATCATTTTGACAATTAAAGTTTATCTCTATCTATTATAGTTTTAAAGATAATAGGCAAAAAATGAAAAAAAAATGAAAAAAAAATCATCATTGAAGGGCAATAACTCCTACAAATGTATAGGAAGTGTTTGATGATTTCGGCCATGTTGACTTATTTGTAGATCGTATCTTGCTGGTAATTTTTGCTTTAAAGTTTCTCTCCCATATATTATAGTTTTAAAGATAAAAGGCAAAAATGAAAACAAGAGTGCACACCTACTTTACTGATTATGATTGAATTTATTTTTAAATTAATTTTAAAAAGGAGTTAAGAGGGAGTTGCAAATACAAAATTGGTGCACCCAAGATAAAGCAATTGCAATGTCCGTGATTCCCTGAGGGAAAACCCAAAATTATCAAACACAAAATAGCAGATGCACAATGGCATTACATGGTGAAGATTCTGTGAGGAATGAATAGGCATCCCAATTACTATTTATACCGCCCCTTCAAAAACAGAGGGGCCTCGGTGGCCGAGTGGTTTAAGTAGTTTCTACTGTAATCATTAGCCAGTCAACACTGAGGTTGTGAGTTCGAACCCCGCTCGTGTGGGTGCACTCGACTACAATCTTAATTGACTAGGATTGTCAGTTTTCCTATCGAAGGTCCGTGGTTTTCTCCAGGCACTCCAGCTTCCTCCACCAATAAAAACTGGCTGCCACAAAATAGCCCAAAAGCGGTGCTTAAAAGTGGCGTTAAAACACCAAAAATCAAATCAAATCAAATCAAAAACAGGGTATAAAAAGTACAAATTCAGATCACTTAGCCTTGACTAAATACATCTATCATGTCTATATAGGCTTTCAAATATCTTGATGAAATTGTTTTTAAGTTGCTGTTTCACTGATGTTTACCCCACATCTTCTATTCATCAAGAACATGAATACAGTTGTACCAAATTAAAAGGTACTTACTCCGGACTAAGAAAGCATATTTCTGTAAACTTCATAAAAAGATAAGTAAATGAGCCTTCTTTTATATGAAGTAGACAAGTTTGCTTCTTATGTTCAATTTTTTCCAAAGCCTCATTAATCAACAAGTTTAGCAACTGGACAGCCTGATCTATAAAATCCACAACTTTGCAGTACCATCTTTCAAATAAGCTGAATAAAAAAACAATTATGGTCAGAAAAAGTTCTTGCTACAACAAATTGCCCTGCAAATTTGTATGGTGCAGCTCTTCAACGTCAGGTTTACTGTGCCAAATAAAAAAAAAAACGTTGATATTTTTTCTGACATTGAGTTTTGTTTTATACTGCAGCTTTAAATGCTACAATAATTGCCCTTAAAATGTGAAAACCAAAATCAAAGGTATTTCGTGTCATTAAACATGCTAAGGGAGTCATTAATTATGAATGAACCTGATTTAAATGAAATTGACAGTGTACATGTTGTATGAAATATAACTTTGTTACTATATTTAGCAGGTCTTCAAAATAAAGAAAGCAGGAAGTGTTCCAGCTGCAGTATAAATTATACTCGAGTATGTAAACGTAACATGTGTGACTAGTATAAAATTTACTCTACATTTTAACACTTAGTGAAGTGATATCATATGAAAAGTCTTTGTGTATTCTGGTTATTTGTGTCATTAGGGCGTTGTCTCGTTGACATATACCGTATATCTCCTTTTATTCATGATGTTCATATGAATAAAATGCCTAACAACTTAAGCATGCTAAGGGAAAAATGAACCAAAACTATTTTCTCAGCATGCAACAAAAGGATCAGCAATTTTCAGTCAGAATTCCTCTATCATACACCTGATTTTATTATGATAAGTACACAGGCACTCAAACATGTCAAACTAGTCAAAACTTTCTTCTAAAACTTGAAGAAAAATTGGTTGAAGCATACATTGGAACAGAACAAATAAAAACACTTTAGGCTGCAACAATAAAAAGAAAACCATCCCCTTAAAAAAATTTCACCACTTATAGTCACCAATCCCATTTCTCTGGTTAACTTTGAAGAACATTGGTCGAGGCATTTCTTCACTGTGACATCTAATTTTTTAAAATGCGTATAGAAAATGTAGAATAGCTAATCACTAATCGAAGAATTCATATATAGAAAAATATTCAACCAGTGACCGAACAACACATTAATTCATTATAAATAAGATTTCCCTCAACCAACATACATAGCTAAACTCAAGACTCAAAACACTATCCCTATGTCGAGCTTTCTGCGACTAAAGTCGCAGGCTCGACAAAAAAATTACTTATACAACAGTCAAGGGTGTAACTTGAATAAGTTATTAGAGAAAAATAACATACATGTGTTATTATAGATACTTTCTCTTAATCTGTAGTAACATATGTTTGTTATCAGTTAAATGTACCATAACAATTTTTATTTTCAGTGGGCACTTGGGAATTCTTGAAACTTGCGCAGTAACTTAATACATATCCTTGAAAACTAATTTTCCAATTCAATTAATACATTTTTGATCAACCATGGTAAATCAATGAGACAAGGCTTTTAAGTGATAACTTAGCTGTAATAACAAGGCTTAGTTATAACAGGCATTTAACTTATTACATGAGACACTTGGGAATGACTAGGAAGCTTGCGGCAGAACCTCATTACATGCTCTTATCATTATTTATTACAATAAATTAAAATACATTGTGATATACATGATATATGTAGTAGAAAAGGCTTTGAAGAAGTGTAGAGAAGCTGTAATAACACCCTTTAGTTATTACAGGCATATTTTTTCTGTAATAAGATGGTTGTGTTATGCATGATTGAAATTGATTGGCAAACTATGGACTGTCATATCTTTGTAAAGTTTAATATACATAAAGACAATTATAATATCAATAGAACTAGTACACAATTTAACAAAATTAAGGATGCATAATATCCTTTGAAACATGTAACATACATATGTTATCACAGATTTTTGATTTTTTAACCCTCAATAACAAATGTATGTTATTTTTCTCTAATAACTTATTTAAGTTAGACCCTTGACTGTACAAGTAAATTTTTTTAGAAAAAATTAAGGGGAGATTATTCAAACATTATAATTAACTTATGTAAGTATATTATTATTTACTTCTTCAAGTAAACAAAGATTACTTGTACAAGTAGTACCCCTGACTGTATGTAGATTAATTGGCAAACACAGTGAAATTTCTATTTTGTGAGGTGATGTCTTAGGAAAGAATTGTAACAAAAGGTGGTGATTTTTTATAATACTGATGATTTTGGGTGATTCACTCTGAAATATCTCTTTGTGTATCACATAGGTAAATTCATGAGTGTTTTCACTTCTAAACATCAGCAATCTGACGACAAGTTTCACAGAATCCCTCAATACAATAAGCATGATAAGAACAATTTTTCACTGAATCATTGTAATGTGTACTGTATATCCTTTGAAAATACATACTCTCGATTAATTGGTTCTTCATCCAAAAGTTGTGCTTCTTCAGAACGTATCTTATTAGCAAACATTCTAACGTTTTTTTTTGTGTTTATCAGAATCTCTATTCCTTTCTCTTGTTCTGGTCTAACAGATGAATCACACATTTGCCACGTATTCTCATCGATTGTAAAGTTTAGGCATTCTTTAGTAAATCCAATCAACGTATTGACTATTTTTGGTACATCCTCTAAATCTCGTCTTTTTTTTAAAAGGCTAATCAAAGTTTCCATTGGCAAATATTCAGTGGCAAAGAAAATAGACTGTAGGTCAAGATCTTCAATTTTCCATGTTGATGCTGAAGTTGAGGGTTTTTTAGTTGGAAGACCTGTACTATCCTCAGTAGACTCAGATGCTGAACTAGTGTATGTTTTACCATGTTTACGCTTTCTTGGTATTTCAGATGATGACATGATTCAAGAAAAAATATATATGATTCAGCTAACAAAGAACATGAAGTACAAACTTTCTGAAATCTAGGGAAAAAAAGGATTAAAGATGAAAAGTTATACTACATCATGTATATAAAAGACAGATTCAAAATGTAACTGAACATATTTGAACTATGTTGAAGTGTAACATATGTAAATAATGTACATGCATGTTAATAAAGGAAATCAAGATTATGTGCCTGTCCAAAATCAGGTTCTTTTAATTCAGTGGTTGTTGTTAGTTTCTGTCTGTCATATTTGTGTTTCGTTATTGTTTTGTCATAAATCTGGCCATTGGTTTTCTCTTTCACATTTTTATATTTTTTCATGTTGGGGTCTTTTAAAGCCGACTATGTGGTATGGGCTTTGCTCATTGTTAAAGACCGTAAACGGCATGTACAGTGAAATTTAGTTGCTTACGTCTACATCATTTAGACTCTGGTGGATAGCTGCCTCATTGACAATGATACCACATCTCCTTACTTTTTTATTGATAGCAGTCAAACCTCATTCACAGTCATTGCAATATATTCCTTGACCTATACATATAATTTGAAAACTGTCAAACATTGGATCATTTCAAAGGCTAGACACACCAATTTATATGTCAAGCACCGACATGAGACTAATAATATATTGCCTTAAAGAACCCTTACGTCTAAAAAAAATATAAACACAACCTAAAAATAAACTGTTGATCATGTTGATAGATGATCAATGCAAAGATATATGTCTCGCCTGTGTGTAATTTTGATTGTAAAATGCAAATGTTGAAATTAAAATAAGGATACTTTAACACATAAATTTAACCCAAATAATTCAGTCGTTATGTTCCGCTGATCTACGAAGGCTACATTAACGCCTGAACGTCTTCCTCGATCCTTCCGGAAATTTCACACCGCTATGCAATATGGGAATTTTGATTTAAGTTGGCAGCTAAAGAAGGAGGAGTTAATTGATGTTAAATGATGTAAACTGATGTTAATTGATGTTAATAAATTATTATCGGATTTGTGTTAATTGAACACAAGTGTTTGGTAAGACAATTACAAGACAGTTGCGCAGACTCATTATCCTGATCGCCGCCGATTGGCTCTCTCTCACAGAGAGCAGGCGATGCGTCCAATGATAATAAGAAGTTCAAGCCCTCGTGTGGGAGAAAATCGGACACGGAAAGGGCTTGAATTATTCGAGTTACACATAAATTATGCTAATATTAAAAGCCAATGAACCATAACTGAAGGTTCAGGGCCATATAATTTATGTGGAAATAAGATGTGCCAATGCCAATACAACTGATTACCAAATATAACTGACTTAGAACATTTACAATGTATTATACATGTAAGTGGTTCCCCATAAACTGACCTTATCACAAACTTTACCATGCAAAATATGCAAAAGTTTCAAAGTTAATAGACCATGACTAAGGAGGCAGGGTCAAACAATCTCCATTGAAATGAAATTTTCCAATGCTTATACAACTGCATACCAAATATCATTGACTTACCATCAATGGTCCCCCTTAAACTGACCTAATCACAAACTTTAACATTTAAAGAAAAAAATTAAATTATTTTAAAGTCAATAGACCATGACAGAGGGGCATCACCAAATAATCTCCATGGAAATGACATGTGCCAATGCTTATACAACTGCATACCAAATATGATTTACTTATTATAAGTGGTTCCCTTTAATTGACCTAATTATAATCGTAAACTATGCAAAAGTTTCAAAGTCAATAGACCATGACTGAGGGTGCAGCACCAAATATTATAAACTCCATGGAAATGATATGTGCCAATGTTTATACAACTGCATTCCAAATATCATTGATTTACCATTCATGGTTTCCCTTAAACTGACATAATCACAAACTTTAACAAATTGTTGCCGCTGTCATAAACAGCAACCTTAGTCTCGCTTCTTAGTCTTACTCTGTCAAAAATTGTGGAAAAAGAGGGGCGAAGGGAACCGAAGGGACATTCAAACTCATAGATGGAACTGTTCAAAGAGGTACATAAATAACAACAATGTTACCCTCAAAACAGTGAAAAATCAATGTTGTACCAATTTCTTCTGCACCTCAGAGATTTCTAATACTGTAAACCCACTCATAATGACAAACTATTTTTTTTCACAACTTACTCTAGACATGCTAGAGATACAATAATGCAAATTAAGCCCCCAAAAAAATATATGCTTGTTTCCTGCTTCCAGACCCTCCAACCCTAATTTTTTTTCCGTGCATTTGCGAAAAAGTTGTCCTAATCAGTCATTGATTCCTGTTTTGTATTGTCTCTTCCAAATATTAACAAAATGTCAATCAGAAAAGTACCAAATAAAAAAAAATGATGTACATCATGTACATGTATCTAGCTTTCTTCTCTCCCACAATGTTCAGTAATACTCATTTGGTATCAGTTTTGAGTATCCTCCATTCTGAAATTTACCTGTATCTCAGTTAAATAAAAAATCCCTACCTACATTGTGTACCTAGTACCTACCCTATTTTTTCAGCTTGGGCATGTTGGAGGCAGGAAACAAGCATATATATGTTTTTTGGGCCTTCTACAAAAGTGGCATAAGCGTCAAACTTGGATCTTCATGAACATGAACAAAGTTAGAAAATTGTGAACATAAATCTCTATGAAATTAGCTGAAAATAGCTAAATACGATAAAAAAGTATAAGTGAAAATAAATTGGTTTACAGTTATCATGTCAGTAACTGTGAAGTCTTGTAAGACTAAGAGATTGTAAGTTTATAGATTAAGTATTAAGGTAGCAAATTAAAAAACAAGAGTGCACACGCTGAAATGTCTCGCCTTCTTTACTAATCATTGATATTATGTTGATAGTCCTAAATATAAAACTTTATTGTAACTGTCACATAAACTTAACATTAACCAAGAAAACTAAACATTGACCAATGAACCATAAAAATGAGGTCAAGGTCAGATGAACCTTGCCAGGCAGAAATGTACAGTTAACAATTCTTCCATATAACAAATATAGTTGACCTATTGCTTATAGTTTAAGAAAAACAGACCAAAACACAAAAACTTAACACTGAGCAATGAACCGTGAAAATGAGGTCAAGGTCATATAAAACCTGCGTGACTGACATAGATCATAAAATATTTCCATACACCAAATATAGTTGACCTATGGCATATAGTATTAGAAAAAAAAGACCATAACTCAAAAACTTAACTTTGACCACTGAACCATGAAAACGAGGTCAAGGTCAGATGACACCTGCCAGCTAGACATGTACACCTTACAGTCATTCCATACACCAAATATAGTAGACCTATTGCATACAGTAAAAGAAAAACAGACCAAAACACAAAAACTTAACTATAACCACTGAACCATGAAAACGAGGTCAAGGTCAGATGACACCTGCCAGCTAGACATGTACACCTTACAATCATTCCATACACCAAATATAGTAGACCTATTGCATACAGTATAAGAAAAACAGACCAAAACACAAAAACTTAACTATAACCACTGAACCATGAAAATGAGGTCAAGGTCAGGTGACACCTGCCAGTTGGACATGTACACCTTACAGTCCTTCCATACACCGAATATACTAGACCTATTGCTTATAGTATCTGAGATATGGACTTGACCACCAAAACTTAACCTTGTTCACTGATCCATGAAATGAGGTCGAGGTCAAGTGAAAACTGTCTGACGGGCATGAGGACCTTGCAAGGTACACACATACCAAATATAGTTATCCTACTAATTATAATAAGAGAGAATTTAACATTACAAAAAATGTTAACTTTTTTTCAAGTAGTCACTGAACCATGAAAATGAGGTCAAGGACATTGGACATGTGACTGACGGAAACTTCGTAACATGAGGCATCCATATACAAAGTATGAAGCATCCAGGTCTTCCACCTTCTTAAATATAAAGCTTTTAAGAAGTTAGCTAACGCCGCCGCTGGATCACTATCCCTATGTCGAGCTTTCTGCGACAAAAGTTGCAGGCTCGACAAAAAACCTGTTGCTGATCATGCTAAAAAGCAAGCCATAAACAATGATAAACAGAAACCAATGTGAACAAGTCAAAAATTGATTTCATCAAATACATGTAAACACATTTTGACTCGCAGAAGTAAAAGAAGGAATATTGAAGTCTGAGTTCTGGCTGATGATTTGAACAAAGGTGCTGTTGCATATATATATATACCTTAATGAGACAACAACCCAATGACATAAAAATGCTCTGCTGGGCACAGCTTGATACGACCGCAGAGGTCGAACCCTGAACAGTTGGGGCAAGTATGGACACAACATTCAAGCTTGATACAGCACTGAATTTGGATTGTGATTAAATATTTGACACAGAATGAATGTGGTCTAAGAACTTAAAAAATTTTAATTTACCTATTCAAACCATATCATTATTATTTGCTTTTATATATAAATCAGAAATAACCAATTTAAAATGGAAAATTTTGAAGAAAAAAAAGGGGAAAAAAATCCCCCCTTAAATTTTTTGAACCCCCTTATGATTCATCACCCCCAAACTCAATCCCAGCCTTCCCTTTGAGTTACAATGTATGGTGCATTGCAGTACAATTTCAGAGAGATCCGTACACTTGAACACAAGTTATTGTCAGGAAACTTGGAAAATGCTTGTTTTTTTGCCCCTTTTTGGCCCCAAATTCCTAAACGTTTAGGGCAATTACCCCCAACTCAAACCCAGCTATCCCTTTGTGATATGGAACCTTGTAGTAGAATTTCATAAAGATCCATTCACTTACACACAAGTTATTGTCCTGAAACTAGAAAAATGCTTGTTTTTTTGCCCCTTTTTGGCCCCTAATTCCAAAAATTTTAGGCAATTACCCCCAAAATCAATCCCAGCCTTCCCTTTGTGGTATGGTACCTTGCAGTACAATTTCAGAGAGATCCATACACTTGAACACAAGTTATTGTCTGGAAACTAGAAAAATGCTTATTTTTTGCCCCCTTTTGGCCCCTAATTCCTCAACATTTTGGGCAATTACCCCCAAACTCAATTCCAGCTTTCCCTTTGTGATATGGAACCTTGTAGTACAATTTCAGAAAGATCAATACACTTACACACAAGTTATTGTCATGAAACTAGAAAAATGCTTGTTTTTTGCCCCTTTTTTGGCCGCTAATTCCTAAAATTTTGAGGCAATTACCCCCAAAATCAATCCCAACCTTCCTTTTGTGGTATTGAACATTGTGGTAAAATTTCATAGTGATCCATTCACTTAAACTAAAGTAAGAGTGCGAAAACCAATGTGTCTTCGGACGACGACAATGACGCCAACGTCATACCAATATACGACCACAAAATTTTGTTTGCGGTCATATAAAAACAACCGAAAGACATCTAGAAGCAAAATACACTTAAAGTCTTTCAGCAATCTACAGGTGTCTATACACATGATACAATACAATATGTCAAGTTCTAAATAGTTCAAAGTCTATAAAAGTTGTGAATAAATTAATCAGAAAGAATCAAAGATCTGCCATCTACATGTACATCAAATTCTCCAAATAAGAAAAAAACAATAAAACCACAGACAAGGTTTCCGACTTGGATCTGTGTAAGCACATGAATATGGTGGGGTTAAACTATTTTTTTCATAGATCTAAACCCTCCCAGTTTTCAATCATGATCAGTGGACTAACATATTTAAGAAGTTTAGAACATACATGTTTACAAATTTAAAAATCAGTTCAAATTAAATAAACAGAAAAAGCATTTATCTGAATATCAGTATAATAGGTACATGTAGCAAAAACATAACAAGCATTCTGAGAGTATTGCATGGCAATACATAGTCCCCTACGGGTTAAGAATTCATTGTACTGGAACAAAATGCTAACTTGATCTATAACTAGTCATGGTGTAAACTATATAACAAATATCAAGTCAATATATTCAAGCATGATGAAAAAAAGTGTGGAAAACTGATTATTTGAGTGAATTATCTGTCCAAGGACCATAACTATGCACAAAATAATCAGACCGGAACAAAATTCAAACTTGATCTGTAACTTGTCATGATAAAACTATATACCAATTATTAAATCAATATCTTCAAGCATGACAAAAAAAATATGGAAAACTGATTATTTAAGTGAATTTTCTAAGTCCAAGGACCATAACTCTGCACAAAATGATCAGACCGGAACAAAATTCAAACTTGATCTGTAACTTGTCATGATAAAACTATATACCAATTATTAAATCAATATCTTCAAGCATGACAAAAAAAATATGGAAAACTGATTATTTAAGTGAATTTTCTAAGTCCAAGGACCATAACTCTGCACACAATGATCAGACTGGAACAAAATTCAAACTTGATCTGTAACTTGTCATGATTAAACTATATACCAATTATTAAATCAATATCTTCAAGCATGACCAAAAAAATATGGAAAAATGATTTTTTAAGTGAATTTTCTAAGTCCAAGGACCATAACTCTGCACAAAATGATCAGACCGGAACATAATTCAAACTTGATCTGTAACTTGTCATGATAAAACTATATACCAATTATTAAATCAATATCTTCAAGCATGACAAAAAAAATATGGAAAACTGATTTGCCGGACTGATGGACGGACACACAGACAGACAGAGTGCAAACCTAAAGTCTCTTCAACTTCGTTGGTAGGGGACTAATAAACAATATAATAGTCACAATCATGACAATAGTTATTCATATGCACATGCTGTAGTTACTGAAAGCAAGCTTAGAATATTAAAGATGAGAAATTCTACAATAAAATAACACATCATTATTTGCATGTATGAAGGGCATACTACATGTATTAGATACACCTTGAAGGGCGTTAGCCAGAATGGGTGTATATAATTTACACCAAGATATTATTGTAAATGCAGAATGATAGTTTTCAATAATTTAGGAGGGGGTCTTTCAGCGATTTGACCATGTGTTACTGAAAATCATGATATATGCAGGGTATCCAATATCATTTAACGACATCTTGGTGTAAACTTGTACACTTGTAACAATATTTGGCAAAGAAGCTGAATATCAAAAGCATACAAGTTGAATAAAAACAAACATTTGTTTATTGCATACTACTCTCCTATGGGGTTACTACTGGTTAATTAATTGATGACTGCATAACATTATCAGCAAAAGGGGTTATAGTATTACCTTTAAATTCACACCATAAAACTTATCAAGTAACTGTACCTTAATTTAAAATTTTACATCCATTGATCATGTTGATACTGATTGTAGGATTGGAAGAGTGCCATATTAAAGAAGACTTATTACAACTCTTCCAGAGAACCAAAGGTGGCCTGTTACAAGGCAAATTTTCAACCCCTGTCAGTGTCAAACAGTTTTCAGGGACAATCCAAATTTCCAGCCCTTCACATGTCAGAACACTTTCTTATCTGTAGTCTCATTCATAGACAACTATATATATTTCACATCTATGCATTTTCCTTTACATTTCCAATGTCTAAATGCTAATGTTATTATGTCACAATAAGAGTCGATTGTTCAATGATCACTGGTGTCATTTACACAGATTGAGCTCAGGTCAACAGGGTATTCCAGAAAAGTCTGTAACCCATAATGAAGTTGCTAGAATTTCCAGATGAAAAAACTTGAAAAATTTCTGCTAGGTAAAAAAATGGACTTTGCATATCTCCCGACATAGGTACTTGACTACAGGTCAGTTATATAGCCCGTTAATTTACTGCAATCATGTATCATTTGTATTCATTTGCAACTAATTACAGATGTAAGGAATGAAAATATTTAGCATGTACCACTTGTACCCATCGGTACCTGGTTACAAATGAAAGGGGGAAATATTCAACACTAATTTCTTGACATATATCATGTATATCATGTATATGAAATTATTAAGGTTGACAGTCACTATATAGATGTTGTTTATTTTATATTATGTGTCATGTCCATTTTGTTATTGGAGATGTTAAGTTTAGGCACTGTGTCTATTATAAATCCAATCTAATCTAAGTGTCTGAGACTGAACTCAACGAAAAATTATGAAGACTCCAAGGCCTCCATTGGCTCAAAGCCAGTGAAATCTTCCATTTCATGGTTACTTTCTCATTTAACCTGGATATATGCGTTTTTTTTCAATTATAATAGTTCTTTCTGTTTTTATCATAAATATACTGTAAAATAGACCAAAAATTACCTAAATATATAATAAATTAGCTATGTTGAAATTCCTTGTTCAAAACCTATCTTTACTACTTTAGGTTTCTTTGTCTTGGTTGACCATGTGCAAAGCTAGGTAAAGCCAGAGACTATTCGAACGGACATTTTCAATATCTGAAATTCACCCAAATTAAGTAAAAAGGCATGTATGGAATTTGTTGAAACATTCATTGGACAAACTGTTTCAGTAAAATATTCTATGATCGAAATATTGGAGTTACCTGTTACCTAGTCTTTATCTTCCTCCTCTAGCAGGAGCTTCGCTTCTACAGCGTACTTATTTATTTGCACCCTAACCCTTACACACAGGGCACTCTTAAAATTGCTAATAGTATATGTTCATAAACGTAGTTATTAAAACAGTAACATATATACAGCATGCGGACTAATTGATCATGTAACGAAGTACTTTTAAAAAATGAGCACGAAGGAGGAAACGAATGTTATGCGCTTGCGTAAAACAAAATTATTAATAAACTTCCGTCCGCCTTTAGCTCTTGTCCAACAGATAAAAAATCAGCCAGAGATATAGATGATATCAAGGTAATCCAATGCACAATTAATATTTAAATATTAGCCTTTTTCCACTTAAGGACACAGTTTTGTATATTACGGTAGGAATCACATCATTGGAATTCTGAATATTTTTTTTATTGATCCATGCTATTTATCACTATCAGGTTGGGAACAAACCCTCTAAATGGTGTTTATACCTTTATAGAGGGATAATCCTTCTATAGAGGGATAAAATTATCCCTCTATAGAGGGGTATTTTTGTTTAGACTGGATTTAAAGCAAAATAGGGCAGATTAGCATTTTCTAGTTATATTGGCTATAATCTATAGCATAATTTATATGCATCAATAATTGCACTTTACTAAAAATTGGGACGCCCAGTTTTCTGCAAAAGTGACAGAACTTGCAACCTATTGTATACCTATCTGAACTCCTGATCAACAACAAAGGGGACAGTTGACCTTTAAATTTTATGTTAAATCTAACAATAGAAATTCTGTTCAGTGAGCCATAACTGAGTATAATTTACCTGATCATCACAGCTTTCAATCAGGGTAAACAATAGATTGTATATTTAGTCAGTTTAGCAGTAAACTGGGCATTTGCATATCAATCTAAGTACATCAATTGGTGCATCAAATGTTGCAGGTTACTGCCATAATAAGTACAGAATGCCAATATGCCCTATTTTGCTTTAAATTCAGTGTAAACAAAAAATACCCCTCTATAGAGGGATCATTTTATCACTCTATAAAAGTATAAACACCATATAGAGGGTTTGTTCCCAACATGTTTATGACTAGTAAATATTTACTTATAGATTTGTTTAACACTTGATTACAAGAGCGATCTTTTAAAACTCGATTTACCATTGTCGATTTATCGTCTGCTACTATATTCACGTGAAGTTAGGAGCATGCGAAATGTGCATTTCTTGTAAAGCCTCTTGGAAGGTATAAAAAACAACAAATGTTTTAATTCAAAAGTGTTTTATTTTCATAAAAAAATATTTTTGTAGCTCGTTATCGAGCACTGGTCATGTAAAATTTGTTAGTAGAAATGGATTGGAAGAGACTACAGAACAAAAATAAGATTTAATAGATGAAAACTCAGAATTTATAAGTAGAAAAAAGGAGGGTCATATTAGTTTTTGGGTTTCTCTAACAAAATGCAGCACAAAATGTCAGAATCAATTACATGTCATCACTAACAGACTAAGTGGTCATCAAAGCTTGTTATGGTTAATGCAAAAATATGCTCCAATATGTCTTAGATTTTTATTTGGATAAAAACTGCATTATACCTCAATTGGTGTATCTCATTATATGTCAAATGGTGGATTATACCTGAATTGAGGTATAATCCACCAATTAATGGTTATTCCTGACCTGTTGAATTCGGGGGTCCGTTCGCCCAAATACACAATCGCGCCCATTCACATTCGCCCCTTTCACTTTCGCACCCTACACATTCGCACCCAAAGTCCGTTCGCACCCTTTTTATTGGTTTTGTGTTTAATAATTTTGTAATCGAGTGAAGTGAGATTCTGACAACATTTTTTTGTGGTGAATAAATCTTAATCATGTTTTGGTTAGTGTATCACATAAAAAAAAAAATTTCATTGTTTCAAAAGAAAGTGAGATTCTGACAACGTTTGTTTTTTGTGTTGAATAAATCTTAATCATCTTTTGGTTAGTGTATACACCTTATTGCTATTTGGAAATCTGTCCCGGTTGACCCGAGAATCTGTCCCGCTTGAACTATTGACGTCATACAACAATCACTTTTCCATTGTGGTGTCAGATATTTTGAATTATGAAGTCAAAATTTTACGGGAACCTTTGTGATGTACAGTAATGGCGGACAAATAGCGCTACATGTATAAATTTATGTTGAGATTCTCACTTTTTTTTTTTGTGCTGAATAAATCTTAAATTGTGTTTTGGTTAGTGTTGTGATATAAATTTTTTTTTCATTGTTTCAAAATAAAGTGATATCAAAGGGGCCAAGCTGTTAAAATCAATTATCTTTCATGTTTTTATTTTAAAATCTTCAATGTTTTACTCATACCAAGCTAAATACTTGCAGTATTTACATCAAAGCAAGTTAAAACAACCATCATGATTTTCAAACATGTACACACAACAATAATACCAAATTTAGCTGTGTATAAATACCAATTAGCAGTAATCATACATTTGTACATAATTATTATTAACATTTAATAATCATCAAATTGATAAAAAAAAAAACAAAAAAACATTCATATAATAATTCCCCAATTTTTATTCAGGAAAATATTTATTTTTTTGGTATATACATATAAAATAATATCTAATAATCCAACTTGAATTTGAATAAAAATTGGGTGCGAACAGACCTAGGGGGCGAACGTGAAGGGTGCGAAAGTGTATTGGGTGCGAACGGACCTGATACCGTTAGTCTTAGTCCAAATAATTATGACGTCTTGAAAGGCTATAATACTTTTACACTGTAAGGCGTCAAAGCAAAAAAGTATTATAGCCTTTCAAGACGTCATAATTATTTGGACTAAGGTTAGTCTGTACTCTAGTAGTTTTTGAGGTGTAACTGTGAAAATTCTAAATTCCTATAGTACAGAAACAACACACTTACATAGATATGTCTGATCTAATACACAAGTTGGAAAACATTAAGCCTTTTGCAGATTGCTGGCTTTGCAGTTTTGATGTAGTATCAATGTACATTAATTGCCCGATTAATGAATTACATGTATTATTGGCGGTTAGAATTTCGTATGATCAGTTTGATAAATCAGATTACAAAATCAAATGCCCACCTACGGACGATTTAATCTATCTCCTCAGATTGATTTTAGAAAACAACATCTTTGATTTTAATGGACAGCTTTATAAGCAAAAAATAGGTGCCGCGATAAGGGAGCAGTGCCAAGCCCGGAAATCTGTGATATTCTCCTGTATAAAATTATGAAAGAAATTCAAAGTTTGAACATAGAAAAAATATCTTATTCTATGGAAGATATCGTGATGATATTATATTGATATATCACGGTGGCATGAAAGAAATAAAGGATTTGTTAGATTTAGCAAATAATCATCATCCGTTCCTAAAATTCACACTAGAATTTTCATCTTAAGAAATAATAGCCGATCTATTGACATCGACAAAATTAAAATAAATTGATAGGTGAATCCCTGATGATGGCGGGCCTACAATGCTTTTGCTACAATACAACCCATTCATAAATGTAATACATTTGTCATTAGCATAATACAAAAACCGCCAATACACTAAATTAGTGTCGGTTTGATGTTAAGCATTTGCAAGTATAGTAATACTAGCATGATTAGATCATTATTTTGTAATATAATTACAATAAAATACTAATAGTATGTAGACGGAGTCTTCCGAATAAGATTTTTTTGCTATTGGAATTCAGATTGATGTTGGAATGCGTGGATGTTAGGTGTCACTTTTATACAAAGTTTAAGGGGGACTATCGAACATGCACAACCCAAGGGACAGGGGGTCAGTCATTCGCAAGACTTAAGCGATGGCAGGCATAACTATAAAGCAAGCAGCAAATTGTAACAGTTTTATATAATAATAGATCGAAATGATAATAATGATGCACACTGGACGTTAAGCAACCAACAATCAATCAATAATAATGATGCCAAAACAATTTACAAATAAATAAATCTAAATGTTCCAAATTATAAAGTCACTTGAAATCAAAATGATTCCGCTAAATGTTTCATTATCACGTACTTGAAGTCCAAAGATTGGTTGAGTTGAGTTGATCAAGTTTGAGCCTTTGAGTTGAAGATTTTCCTCAGAGTAGCTGAGCCTGGTTGGCTTTGGAAGCACTCCTTTCTGGATAACACTGATGAGACTAGACTGACAAATAACTGTTCGACCCCGATATTTAAGGCGAAAGCTGAAAACTACTCATGAAATGACAGACACTGATAATTGAGATATTTAAGATAATTTGAGTATTAATAATATTGTTCAAAAATGTCCAAAGGTGATATGAATAATGTCAATTACAGAGATACAAGTTAATTACATTTATGATTCTAATTAAAACATAATATTGCTCAGATTAATTAATGACAATTGACAAAATACCAAAACGTTGCTCAGAGCAATTATTTACAAGCGACATGTTTCACAAAATTTACCTGAGTAATTAAATTAGAATTTGACATACAATTGTTTCATAATTTCATATTTTCTAAAAATAATATATTTTCTCAATAAAATTCACTTTAAAACTTTTACATAAAAGAACACCTAAGATAACCCCCCCCCCCCCCCCCCCCCCCCCCCCCCTTCTCAAATATGTTTGTCCTCAAACATGAGAAAATATACATATGTACAAAAATATATACAAAAACATTAAGAATAAGAGAAAATAATCGTGAAGAATAAATTTTTTTTTGTGGAAAATGTATATATAAAGATAGCATATTTTGCAAGACAAGATGAAAAATGCAATTTTAGACAGAATTGCTAGATAAAGAAAATTGCCAGATAAGATATGAAAAGCAAGACTAATGAAACTGAAAAATAAGACGAAGTCATATGCAAAGAAAAATTCAAGACTGTATATTATATAAAAACAAAGAAAATTTTATGCTGTATGCTCCTTGTATAAGGTGGTCAGCCCTATACAAGTGCAGGGTGTGGAGTT